TTCATATGGTGATGAACTGCAATTCCCAGCATTGCCCACTCTTGCCCTCTCCCAGCTGCTCCCCGGGACCTGCCCGCCCCTCCAGTCTCCTGAGCGCCATTTCAGCGGCGGGGTCGCGGGAGCCCCTTTCCACGCTGCGCAGCCCTTCACGACCATGACCCTTTCCTGACTCGTCGCATGCGAGAGGGGCACGGCCGGAGTGCCAGCTCCCTCTCAGAAAGCGCTGCTTCTCCCTTCCCAGCCCGGCCGGTTGGCCTCCGATGCACATGTGGGCATCACCTCCGCCTGGCCATTTCCGAGGCCCAGAGCCCGGCGAGCCAGGAAGGAGCCGCTCCTGCCCGCCAGTCCCAGGGCTGCGCTGGGTGCCAGAGGGCCGAAGCAGCCTCTGACGGCGAGGGAGGCGGACTGGGCAGAGGCTCCAGAGCAGTGCGCGGCCGGGGAAGAGCACAGCCGGGCAACCAGGAGGCGTGGGGACCGGCTCAGCACCGCAGCTCAGCCCAGCTCAGCCAGCAGCAGCAGCGCATTGTCAGAGCAGGGCAGGAAGAGATGGGGTGGTAGTGGCAAGTCATGAAAGCAGCATCCACACGTTCAGGGTGCAAACACCTTAGACGTTTGGCTCCCCCACCCCTTTATTTACTGATCTGCCACAAGCTCGTGTAAACAAGCCCCGAGGAGTTCTGAACGAGCAGTCGTTAAAAAAAAAAAAGCTTTAATCAATGAGGCAGAAAGGGGAACTCACTCACGGCTCTTTTTTTTTCCCCTTTCTCAGCGACTGGGAAGGCAGCAGCCAGACTGCACAAAGGAAGGTGGACAGAGGGGCGAGGGGGAAAACCTCACTCAACTTTTGCCCTTATCAGACCCGGTTCCCTTCTGGTCGACCCCCACCCACCCACCCACCCCTTTCACCTCCCACTACAGATCGACGCTACCCCTCGGGAGTATTTTGCCAGGCTTTTTTTTGTTTACCTTGGCCCTGCGCTTTTCCCAGACGGAAGCCAGGCAAGAGGACCTGAAAGACACCGAGCAGAAGGTTCATAGCCGTGGCGACGCGGCAGTAGCTGCTCTGAGATGGATAGCGCAGTCCCGCCATGCTGCTGAGGTGGCTGCTTTCCTGTCTGCCCGAGCTGGCTGGCGGAGCTAGCCTTGAGCAGAAATTCTCACTAGTGTCTCGGTTCCTAAGACCATTGGAAATATGTGTTTTCCGATGGTCTTAGGCAACCCCTGTGAAAGCATTGTTCGATCCCCAAAAGGGTCGCGACCTACCGGTTGAGAACTGCTGACTTAAGATTTTGCAGTTCTCAAGTGTCTGTTACTGTTGCGAAGATTTTGAAAGATGCATCCAAGGACAGTCAGCCTGATTTGCAAAATGGCAATTGTATTGGTGTTGATGTTTACAAAAATCATGGTACTCTAAGATGCAAATGTGTTCTTATCAGGAAAGATAAGCCATCAATAATAATATTAATAATTGTACCAGAAATTAATATCACTATAACTATGATATACAATGGAAAAATCTGTTATTTTTCTTATCTGCTATGTAAGGAAGAAAATTCCTGAACAACAGATATTTTAAGTATTTAGTATACATTCACTTTATAAACTCTACAATAAATCTGTAAGGTAGATCAGTATCATAGCATTGGTACAATACGGGTGGAGACATAGACAGACTAATGTGTCTAAGACCAATGGATGAACGTCTTGAATCAAGGATTTCTCAATCCACATTTTCATATTCATTTCAATCATATTACTCCTAGTTATGCATTTAACAAATATTAAAATACCAGCTATTCTAGTAGATATATTGAAGAGATCTTGTCTGATAAGTTTAAAAACTCTCTCTCATCCCAAGTTACCTCACAGAATTGTCATTATGGGGCAATAGGAGGCAGGAGTATTAAATATTTCATTGCCTTAAATTATATATTTAAAAAGGTAGGATAAAATAGGTCAGAACTGAAAAATAATCAAATGCTTCAAAGTGCAGATTGTGCAAAGAAGCAGAAGAAACAGTAGATCATAAATTTAGCTCATGCAATAAGATCATATAAACTGAGTGTAATTAACAAAACAACACAGTCAGAATGATTCACTGGAATATATGTGAAGTATATGTAAAAATTATCATGTGCCAGTGATGAGAAATTGTTGAAATAGTAGCCCAAACTGAGAAGGTTAAAAAAATTGTAGGATTTCAGAATACAAACTAATAAAATCTTTGTTCATAATAACCAGATTTAAACTTTTGATATAACTGGGGGAAATATTAAGAATTGACAAGTTGCAAGAACTGGTTAGAAAGGATTTATCTTGACAGTAAAAGACTTTGCTCAAACCTATTTCAAACAACGCTTGGAAATATGCTTCATTACATTTAATTCAAGCTACTAATGAGCAGAGAAACTCAGTTACACTGAGAATAATCATTAAATATAGTCCTCAACTTACAACAATTTGGACTGGAGATCATTAAGTTGTTGCAGTCCTAAGTTAAGACACCCATATTGGGCAGTTGTGAAACGAATAATTACAGTTGTTAAGTGAACCACATTAAATGAACAGTGTGGTTGTTCAGCAAATCCATTCTTCTGAATGGGTGTTGTTTTTGCCAGAAATTGGCAAAAAGTGTTGCAAATCACAGTCACAGTCATAAAGGTAAGCCAACTGCTATGTGCCCAAAATGTGGTCACATGACCCTGCGTGTGAGTATATGACATTTTATGAAGGGCAGAAGTGCTTTACAAGCTGTAAAGTACCCATTCGAAGGCCATCATAATTCCAAATAGTCATAAATCAAGACTACTTGTCTTTTCTCATCATTATCTTATAGATAAAAGGAGATGGGTATTTTATTTATCCTAAGGTATCAGCTAGATTAGTATTACTTATCCAATTTGATATCTGAAATACTTGGAGGCACATTATCAGAAAATCCCAGAGCTGCAGAGTAGATTGTATAATGAAGAAACTTCCTCAAGAAAGAATTGTAATGGCAAGCCACCTCTATACGATTAACAAGAAAACTACATGGACATATTCATGAAGTCACCATGAATCACAATTAAGTTCAAAGAAAATAAGATTTTTAATGCCTGGAATAGTATAGGAAAGAAAATTAATGATAAGCACGTTAGAAATTGAAGGTATGTTTCTATCTTCAAAACAAGGAATGGCAGGGACTTTCACTAATTATTCGCCATATCCAAGATTTGTCCAGTAGCCAGTGCTGAATCAGTGAGCAGTAACGAAGCACATGTTTCACAGAATTTCCTATTTAGCATATTATCAATTTATATACTCAGGTCTCCAGTATTCAGAAAACACCGAATATAAATGGAAGATTATGTATCAATAACTACAAATTCTCCCACAACAAACAAATTAGTAGCAAAAGAGAGAATCCCAGTTAGCATAAACTCTAGAGCACAGATTTTATCCAAAATCAAATATCTGAAAATATAACTTTTAATTTAGAGTTAAATTTGAGTTTTCAGTGTTAGCTACAATAAATTATTTACAATATCAGTTAAAACACAAAAATGCCAGTCATGTTTTTTAAAAAATAAAAATAAAGGAAGCACTATGAGCTTGTCCTTACTTCTGCTTCTTAAAATGGCTCCATTAAAATTACAGTAATGGGAAAATATAGTAGGACAGTGCAATCTTCATGTCTACTGTTTTCTATCTTCTACAAATAAAAATGCTCAGTATTCAGAGAAGCTGCCACGTGAATCTAGTCTGATCCATGCTTTAGTTTTCTTCCCAGGAAGAGGATAAGATCAAAGAAGTTCAGTTTCACAATTGACAGATAACAGTGTGAGTAAATATGAAGGAATAAATATGCAGGGCTAGCTACATGTGAGGCCCTGAGGACAGAAAGCTTTGGATTGCTATCAGTATTCCCAATGGTCAATGTTCTCCATCCCATATGCTCTCTAATGTCTTCCTTGGCCCTTCCATAAATCCGTACTTTGAAGGCATTACTGCAGATGCATAGAAGAGAGGAAGGAAATGCAAGGCAGACTAAGTCAAAATATCCACAGTAAGGATATTTTCTGTAGCCATACAGTTATCTTTGCTCAAAGCAGCTTCTTAAAATGTATTCCTCCAAGATATTTCAACAGCAAATCCTACTGTAACGTTAAATTTGCTTAAAATAAAAGATCACTCACGCAGAGATGCATGAACATACAGTGTTAATTGACATATTGATTTGAAAAGATGGAGATAAAATTACCATTCACCACAGAAGATGAAACAGCATCCTTCTGCCAAACACCCCCCCACCCACTCAATTGACTCAAATGTACATTTCACACACCACAAAAGCAGAAGACTATCAAACGGATCAAATGCAGAGAGAATATTCAGAACTGAGGTATTAGGATACAAGGCTAATTTAAAAACAAAACGCAACATTCTTTTCTTTTTATGATCTCTTCCGCATGTCAGGACCACCACCTATATGAACAGCGGGTGGGGTGGTGGGTAATGTAACCGGAAAGGCTTTGCTCATGTTGAATACGCTATTTCCATTGATATCGTGGAAGGGCAGAATAGCATGAAAGGAGAGCAACTACCCTTTTTTTGCAGAACGAGAAAAAGGAGGATTTCATCACTGGGAAGAGGAAAGGAAGGCAGTAAGATCCCCTTAGATCGTTTTCGTTGCAAGAATACGATCTGATAGGGGAGGGGGGCTTTTCTCATCCCCCGGGAGGAGGAAGGCCTCCGTCCTGCTAAGATTGAGAGATGATGCCCAAGCATGAGAAGGTGGCAGCACCTTCATCGGGGCCGACGTTCCCCAACATGGTACCCCCCCCAATACTCCCCGAGATTACGGCACGAGCACTCTCAGCCAACGTATCCGAAGGCCTAGCTGGCAATCTTGGGAGTCCCATTACACCTATACCCATCTGGACGGTACCGGCCTGGGGAAGAATACTCGGTGCTACCCGCCCGGGCACCGCCGTGATGCTCGTGACCCAGCATCTTACCGCGATCACGTTGACGAAGGTGGTCTTGCCCGAGTACTGCAGCCCCACCAGGGTCAGCTCCATCTCCTCCTTCCAAAAGAGCGCCCGGAACCAGTCCAACAGCTTCGTGAAGAGCGCCAGCATCCTGCTTTCAACTCCCGGCCCCGATCGCTCAGCGCAGCCAGGCCCAGCGCCTTTATTATCCCCCGGAACGATCCGGCTTTGCCGCTGCAGCCGCCGGGGTCTCGCTCGCCTGGCTCCAGTCGCTCAGCAGCGGTAATGGGTGGGGTCAGTCAGCAGCTCTCCGGCCGGGGTGGAGCCGCTAATCTCGACGGTTTCTGCGCCCAACCCAGCAGTGGCCTCTAGAGAAGTGGAGGACTGCGCGCCGAGGCGAGGACCTCAATTCCTCCTACCGAGGCCTAGGACGCAGTCGGACGTCAGATCTACTTTGCTTTGCAGTAGAAGCTCAAGATCCGCCCGAGCCAATGGCTGAGGAAGGCTGGCGTTCGTCTGACACACGCCAACGAGTCACGTTTCAGCGGATTGTGTGAAGCCAGCCGTGTGATTAATTTATGGTTTACCGGGCGTATGGGGACCTTCTGAAATTAGGTTAATTGAATAAATCATGGTTAAATTAATCAAGGGTAAATCTGTTGTGCAAAAACAGTCATTCAGGCAGCACTCGCCTAAGGCTTGGGATTGTTGTCTCAAAAGTCTTTAGTACGATACCCTCAAGGGGGCGCCGTTGCTCATGAGGTTAGAATGCTGGGCTAACGATTGGCAGCCTTGAGTTGGAGATTTGTTAAGCAGCGGGGCAGGGTGAGCTCCCACCACAGTTCCAGCTCCTGCAACCCAGCGGTTCGAAAGCAATTGCGAGTAGATAAATAGGTACCACTTTGGTGGACAATTTCATTGGCAAACAAAGGGCGTCTCCTGAGTAATGGTGATGTCACTGGCAAATCCTTTCACCAGGAAAGCATTTGGGTACTTCCACCATAGAAGCATTATTATGCTCTCAACCATCATATCCTTATTAACTATCTACAACGATTGAACGATTCTATAGGTAGTCCTTGAATTACAACCATTTGTTTAATGACAGTTCAAAATTACAATGGCACTGAAAAGTCTTATGAGCAGTTCTCACACTTAGGACTGTTGTAGTAGCATCCCCATGGTCACATGAGCAAAATTTGGATGCTTGGCAACTGGCATGTATTTATGATAGTTGCATTGTGCCAAGGATTTAGTGCTATCTATTTGAAACTGTTTTCTCCATGTTACAAATCAGGAGCTCCAGTCTGCTTCAAAGGGAGTCTGACCTTGGAGTAAGGATACTTCTTGGTAAAATTCCCTCTCCCTTGACATGCAGATCAGTTCTTCTCATCTCTGCTTCAGGAAAAGACTAAACACTTATTTTTATACTCAAATGCTTCCTGTTAGGTTACTGGTTTTAACAATTGGTTCTTTTGGATTTTTTTTCTTGCTGTTGTTTTGTTAGTGTTGCTTATGTATTTTATGGAGAACAGTATTTTTCCAATTGTCAGATTTTATTGCTGATGCTGTTTTACAAGGCTGGTTTTACTGGGAAAAAACAGGATTTATATATGGTAAACAATAAGGTGACCAACCATTCTCCTTTAGGGAGGACAGTCCTCCTTTTGTGAGTTCTGTCCTCCCTCGAAAAGTGTCCTCCTACATGTGCTCCTTTTTGATATTTGAAGACTAATCTGCAGGGCTTTTTTTTCCTCACAGAACGCTCAGAATGGCGTTCCAGCACCTTTTTTGATGGTTTTTTTTTCAACTTTTGCATGAGCTGTGCTACTCCCCCTACTGGCTTTCAAAAGCCAATAGGAATTGCTGCTGAGCACACCAAAACACCCAGCCGGCAAACTTTGCACATGTAAGTTATCTACAGAGAAGGCGAATTGATAGGAACTTTGCACCCTTCCCTGCTACTCAAATACACCATCTCCTAGTTAGTCCCGAAGATACCTGGAGGAGACTGGAGCGGCGATGCCATGGTAACTTTCTCTTGATCTTCAGCCCTGCTAGGGCAATAATGGCTGTGGGTGCAAGAGGCAGGGGTGGCGGTGGCCGGCTGCCCTCCATGCTGTGGAAGCCGTGGGGCCTGCTCTACACGGGGCTGCGCAGGGTGGGCGGTGGTGCTGGCGGGGCGGCTGCAGGCGGGGTGTGTCGACGGCAGGCTGCCCCCCGGGGCTGGAGCTGGCACAGTTGGTGCTTTGGGAGCCGCAGGGCCCGCTCTACACGGCGGGACAGCAGTGCTGGTGGGGCGGCTGGGAGCAGGGGCGTGGCATGTAAGCATAATTACAATATAAAATGTTATTGTTACAAATGTTTTTTATTATGCATTTATCATATTATAGTGTATTCTGTATTATTGTTGCAATGAATAAAACGTTTCTTTTATTTATGATATTTTTTTCTTCAATTTATTTGTGTCCTCCTTTTCATTGTAAAAAAGTTGGTCACCTTATAAACAAATATGAATAATCTGAGCAAGTGGTCTAAAATTTAAATGCAGCTAGCATTAACTCATGAATTTAAGAAGCAGTTTTTGAAAAATAGGTGTGACCTGTTTGTGCAGGTGTGACAATTTGATGATTTCAACATCTGTTGAAATGGCAAAGAAAAACAAATAGCAGAAACTATTAAATGAAGTGGAGTCAATCAGTTTAAATTTTGTGGTTCATTTGCCATCTGAAAGATTGCTTTAATCAGGTTTCATTCTCCAATCCTGTGGTGTAATTGCATATCTTCCTTCAAATTATGCTTTTTTCAAAAGCCTTTGATTTCTGCTTCCAGCTATAACTCTTGTTTTCTTCACTCTTGCCAATCGGGTCAAAAGACACTTATGTTCTAAACAATGGAAAAATGCATGGTAGAATTTATCTTTTGAACTATGGAAATCTTAGAGCCGAAATCACCTTTATGGGATCTTTGTTTTTTGTTTTTAAGAAACTAAAATCCATAAACCAGATAAAGTAAAAGGTAGTAGCTTAACAGATAATGCCAGCTTGCTTCTGCACCTTAAACTAAATCCTGAATGATCTGTATACTGTATAAAAATACAAATCTGTATCTGAGTTAGTGCAAATAAGAAGTGTTACACTTTAATTATAGGAGGAGCGAACAGCTATTTTGTTCCCATTGGGAAAAAAATTGAGATCATTGTCTCTTCCAAATCCTACAAAAATCTATAGGAAGACTGTAATTTAGTTTTGATCAATCTGTACCTTAAAAAGTTAGACAAATAACATTGTCTCTCCTTAATTATAACTGCAACCGCTTGACTCTATTTGTTGAATTTATATAGCTGCCCGTGTCACAGATGTGATCCTGGGGAGTCTACAATAAAACAAATGGTTAAAAACAAGTATAAACAACCTTTAGAAGCAATTAAATATACATAAAATTGTGAGAGAACTGATCAACATCATGTTTGGGACTGTCAACTCCATTGCTAAGTGACATGGTCATAAAGTGAAATGCCACGTGGCTGCTATCATTAAGCAACTCACCTGCAGTTGCTAAACAAGTCGCAGTCGTCACATAACAGTGACTTTGCAATTCCTGCTACCTTCCCAATTGAGTTTGCTTGTTGGAAATCGGCTGACAAGGTTGCGAATGGCAATTATGTGACTGTATCTGTGGTATCCTGCAACATCATAAATGTACACCAGTTGCTAGGTGCCTAAATTGTAATCACATGACCATGATGACACTACTACAACAGCTGCAGCTTTGGGGACCATCATAAGTCTTCTTTTTCAACACCATTGTAACTTTGAATAGTTGCTGAATGAATGGTCAATAAGTGAGGACTACCTGAAAACATTATAGCCATCTTGCAGGCTCCCTGTCTCTATGGGATTGCCCAGGCTGCTGGAAAACCTTGTTTTGAGAGATTTCCACAAGACTAATATGGTTGGAGCTAACCATTTCTGGCAGCTTCCATAACAGAAAAGGGTCTCCTGGGTCCCATCAGATGGATTTTTTTAGCAGATGGGACCCATAACTTATCCTTCCTACCAGATCTGATGGGACAGGTAGATGATAAAACAGGGGAGAGGTGGTCCCTCAAATGACCTGGTCCCATTCCATGTAGTTTTAAAGGTCTAAAGATTCTAGCCAGATGGAAAACCAATGTCCTTTATTATATAATGACATCATCCATGTAGCTATGAATAAAAGTCCTGTGATACGCGTATTTAAGATTTGAAGAATGAGGATTATCCTTCCACAATATTTATGCAGTAATAACGCTGGTTAAATTTACAGAACAAAGTAACCTTTTCACTAAGGCTACTGAACAGGAAATTTGTTATTTTTAAGAAGTATATGTACTATAAAACTGGTACCTCCAAATAGTGTAGCATTATGGCTGAATTAAAAAAGAATATTTTTAGAACATGTTCTGTGGATGAGTCAGAAATCAGGTCCACCATCTCTATTTGCATAATCATATCTAAGGAAACTATGTATTCCATAGCTCTTAATCCTTTTCTTGCCCCAATTCTTGCCTCATTTAGTGTGCCTCAGATAGCAACTATTCACATTTACAATGATGATAATGCCTGCGTTTAAGATCTTTTCAAGCATCTTTCTCTCTCAGTCTGGTGTTTGCCAATGCATTCAGTTAGTATGCATTATCCAGTGTCTGATCTGTGTTTTTTAGCTTCCCACCTTTCAGAACAGAGAGATTGCCTAAAACAAATGATCTCTTCCTGAGCTCATTCCTAGCAGCTACTAACTAACTACAAGTTAACAAGTACAACTCTGTGACCTTAATTGTTAATTAGAACAGAAGGCTTAGTAGACTTGCAGCTGTTGCCTGAAATTGACAAGATCCTGATCAGTTTCATAAAGGTTTGTTTGCCTCCTAAGCAGCTTGCACTTACAGCTCTGAGATGCTATACAAAAAAAACCAGCATTAGCACCTTCCTTTCGATTTATATTTCTGATTGTGTGCCTGCTTATTCTCTTTGCTTCTTCTGCAATAAATATAAATGCAAACATCTATTCTCTTCTTGCTAATGATCCCCGCTCTGGGGTGTTACAGTAGGGAAAAGGGTTATCAGATTTGCCCTATTGCCTGGCTTTCTCATAGTTGAGTTTGTATCCTTCTAATACCATAAAGCAGGGGTGTCAAACTGCCGGCCCGCGGGCTGGTTTCTTCATACCGGAGCCGCACCCACTCCATTGCTGGCATTGGCGAAAAAGCTCCGATACGTTATGTCGCGAGTTTGACATATCTGCCATAAAGCAAAGTAAAAATGGAAGCCTGGTTGTTGTTTTTTAATCATGTGACTATTAAAAATTACAATTACAGCAATAAAAACTAATTCAAATTAAAAAAAGAAAAAAATAGGTGCAAAAAAAGAAAAAATAGGGAAGAAAGAAAAAGACTAAAATGGGAAAAATAAATGTATAAATACTTTCCCCTTCATCACAAGTATAAACAATGTTAGTTTAAAATACAGTATGTAATCTCTTCTTCCATCTGTAAACAAAATTTTAAGGCTTCATCATTTCAGTACTGATATCAACAAAAGTCCATTAAAGGTATCAGAGGTAACATATCTATTTTCACCTTGATTAAAAAAAACTTTAAAAT